AACAGGATCCTACAGTATGTTTAAGCCTGTCTAAGTGTCTATATATGTTGTCAAGAAATAGTAAAATGGCGTCTTCCACACTTCTCCCGTGACGATATGCAAACTGTAGAGGGTCCTGGGTGGGTTCTATGTACGTTCGTAGTCTTTTTAGCACAATTTTTTCTAGACATTTTATAACTACCAATGTTAAGGCTATTGGCCTCAGGTAATTCATTTCAGTAATTTTTTCTTTCTTTGGAAGGGGGACAATTTCAGAACATTTCCAAATAGTGGGAATAGCATGTGTCAACAACGACTGGATGATAATATAGGTGTAAATAAAACTAAGTTGTGCTGAAAACATTTTCAGAATTTTGGGTTGAACACCGTCTGGACCACACGCCTTTCTCACATTCACACGCCTTTCTCACATTCACACGCCTTTCTCACATTCACACGTCCAAACACACATCTAACCTCACGTTCTTCAACAACAACAACAGGATTATTTTCTTTTGTGTCGGTGTTCACACATGGCAAGTCACACGGACTGCCTTTGTCAAAACGGGAGAAAAGGGCATTTAGTTTATTTGCATACTCTTTGTTGTCAACACATATGTTTGTTGGTTTATTTTTATAGCCCACTATGGTCTTAAGCCCAGTCAATGTCTCTTGAGAGTTATTTGAACGAAACAGATCTTCCAGTTTCTTTTTATATTTTTGATTTTCAACCCCTTTCTTAATAGCTTTGTCTATGACTTTAAGTTCTGTTTCGTTATGGTTTTTAAAAGCCTTTTTCTTTTTATGGATGAGATCTTTGACTCCAGAATTTACCCACGGTTTAGAATTGGGGAAGATGGTAACTTGTTTTTTAAGGGCCACTATATCTGCACAAAATTTAACATACTCTGTGACTGTTGTACATAAATCATTGATATCACAACATGCATTAATAAAAACATTCCAGTTGGTACAGTCAAAACATCCTCTAAGTTGATCTTCACTTTCTTCAGTCCAGGTGGTGACAGTTCGAACTTCAGGCTTTGTTCGTCTCAATACTGGGCGGTACAGAGGAAGTAATAAAGACATGTTGTGGTCAGAGTTACCGATGGGTGGGAGGGCAACACACTTGTAGGCTTGGGTCACATTGCCGTAACACAGATCTAATGTCCTTTGGCGTCTCGTTGGAATGTCGACGTACTGGGTCAAGTTGGGTAGGGCGGCGTTAAGAGTACAGCTGTTGAAGTCACCGGTAATAAAAATAGCCGCGTCAGGAGATTTTGTAGTTTGGTTGTGAATGAGGTCGGATGGAGTATCGGTGGCAATTATTGGGACGCTGGCGTGTGGAGGATTATACACAACATTAATAAATATACTTGGGAACTCACGGGGTAGATAGAACGGACGTAGATGTAAAGTATAAGCTGTTAATTAAGCATTGTTTGCCCTTGTAAAGAGCAGCAGAAAGTAATGATCAGGAATATTCTGTTTGCATCATTCCATGTCAAAATCCACTGAGTTACAATCCACTGTACTCCAGCAACGTGAGATTACCAGCTACGGCGAATATCAGTGAAATGGAGAGTGAGAGAGAAGTGCTACATGACGGGAGTAGGCCTATTGTTTTTGATATCCCAGATCATATCTGGGAACAGTTGAATGAAGACAAAGAAGTGGAAATTTCTGTGCCAAGCCAGTCTGTATCCATCCAGTGATTCCAGCGAACAGAAGGCCAGTGGTTCAACTACATCCACTACTGGTACTGAGTATTCTCTCTCTCTCTCTCTCTCTCTCTCTCTCTCTCTCTCTCTCTCTCTCTCTCTCTCTCTCTCTCTCTTTATCTATCTATCACTCTATCTCGTTTTCTCCCCCCCTGTCTCTCTCTCTCTCTCTCTCTCTCTCTCTCTCTCTCTCTCTCTCTCTCTCTCTCTCTCTCTCTCTCTCTCTCTCTCTCTTCTCTCTCTTCTCTCCACCCCAGGGCGAAGGGTGACCATCAGTTCGGCACGCAAAATTTAACGAAAAATTGCGGTTTGGTATCTAAATAGCTTTCTTATACGCCTACAACCATATTTCTGCTTTGCAGAACAATCTAAACTCAGGGTACCAAACTTTTCACCCATTCCCTTCCATATCGCTCCTTCATTCACTAGAACTAAATGTAGGCCAAGCATCTACAAAGCCTAGATAGATTGACCTAGATTAGATCTAGAGTGGATGTACCCCCAACGACACAGATGCATGCCCAGAGACTCAAAGTTCAAAGCCCGATTTTCTGTTCATTGAACTTGATTTGGTGAAAGTTTTGGTTTAGACATGAATAATAACCTATTTTCCCCAGAAACCAGTCTCTTTTCACATTAGGGATGGTCTTTTTTCCTTAGATATTGAGGCCTTGTGGTCACTGGGGGGTACGTGGCCATTGGGGGTACGTGGCCATTGGGGGTACATCCACTATAGATTTATAATGTAAAAAAAAGGCTCTGATGGTAGAAAACGATGGAATGGCACAATCAGGGCCCCATCCCTTCTGATGAATGGGCACGCAGGATGGAGCAAACAAGGAAATTCCTACTTGATGGTACCCTCCCCACCTTCAGCGACGGAAGGCCAAGAACAAATTAATTTTCCAAGCATGCCACAAGTAATTCCTGAATGGAAACAAGTTGATGTTTAAGAGGAGTGGGAAGGATCTGGAGGTAGTGGCCGACCAGAAGGAGCAGCTGACCATCATCCAGTGCACTCACAGTGGAATTGGCACATCCAAAGAATCAAAAGCGCTTGGTGGCCACCTGAGTTGGAACACTGTGGCAAATCACCTCTCCACCAGATACGAGGAGGATGTGAACATGAGCATTGTGATTGGCTGCACAGAGTCTACTGAGTACTTTTTCCAACCCCTGCACGACCATTACTGAGAGGAGAGTCCTCTGCGAAAGAATGGGAGGCCTGAGCGCCCAAAAGGTCAAGTACTGCTGGATGGTGAATGGTCACAAGATTACTGAAACCCTGG